TTTATTAAATGTCAACTGCATCCCAAGTCCTGTGCTAGGCAATTGGGATACAAACACAATGATGACAACAACAAAACCCCCAAATAGTCCTTGCTCCTAAGGACTATAAGGGCCACCTTAGTCATTTGAGGTTTGCCTCCCTAGTCTGAGTTTATACAACAGCCATGATTTTGCTCTGAGTCTTTTGAAATAATTAATTTGTCACCAGAGGGAAAAAAGTAAATTCAAGACATCCTTTTAAATCAAGCCCTTGGCACATCAAACATCATCTCATGGGTTCCTCTGTTGGTTAGAACTACACCACCCACCTCTCTCTTGAGCCCTTTTATATCAACTGTCTCCAAGAAGTTGTCTGGATGGGTTGGCCAGGAAACCGACAAGGATGCCATGAGTGGGGAGGGTGGTGGTGGTGAGTTCATACACTGAATGATAGGTGGCGTTTACAACAGGTACATTGTGCAAACCAGCCAGGCAGCTAAACTTGTGAAACTTGTTCTAAGACAGAAACGAGAAGAGAAGGCAAAAAAGAGATTTGGGGAGAACCTGTGCTTCTGACTACAGCTTCTGTGGACACGAATAATTTGATTGAATTGTAAATGGAAAGAACCCACCCCCTTCCCCTTTTCCTCCTTCCCTCAAAGAAAACCTGTCAGGTTTGGAGTGGGGAGGGAGGAAGGAAGGGAGGGGGACTCTATTTGCTTACCAGCCATCGTCAGGGCCATGCTTGTGACAGACAGAAACACGGCTGTGAATAGAAAGTCTATCATAAGGGTTCTCAAATATGAAAGTGAAGTTGGAACAAAGAACAGGCATCGAGCCCACTTCCCCTGTTAAAGATTATGCAGCATGTCACCAGTGCCAACGTTCCCATAAATCCCAGCAGCAATTGGCAGTTATATCTCACCTAATGTGACTTAACCGCTTTGAAACCCTGCCCAGGATCTCATGGCATTCCATGCTACCGCCTCATCACAGGAGAATGAACTTTATCTCTAAGATTTTAAGTGTGTTTGCTTTAAAGATGATTTACTGTGCTCAACAATTATCGAATTTCCTAAATTAAGCCTGATCTCTTGTTGTAATTATGTATCTTGCAATTACAACAAGAGAAATGTCTTAGCTAGGGAAATTCAGATCTATCTATCTAGCACTGGAAAGAACACCAGACTTGGAGTCAGAAGACAAGTATTTGAGTGCTGACTCTGGCATGTCTTAACTATGTCGCAGTACGCAAATTGCCTGTCTCTAAGCCTCAGTTTCTTCATCTATAAAATGGTGATACTTACAGCACATCAGAGGGCAGGTATGCGAAACTGGTTCCTAAACTTTGAGCTATATATAAATTGGGAATAAGAGCAGTAGTCTGCTAGTAAATATTTAATAACCAGCTCTCTGAAAAAGTTCACACATATTTTTAAGTTTAATATGTATCATTAATGTTTTCTCTTAGACAATCCTCAAAACAATAAATCATGACCCAATTTGTAGCACTGCTGATTTCTGAGGTATAATTGTTTGCACTGAAAATTTAACAACCAGCTCTAGTTCAAGTTGACTATAGCACACTTTTTGGTGAAAGATATTATCAAAAAATGATGAAAATGGAGATGAGGTTTCAGCATATAAGGGGAAAATAGAAGGTTGAGTCCTAACGCTACTTAAAAGGACCCAAATTTTCCTATATTAAAGATTAAAAAAAAGGAGAGAGAAGAGGCCTTCTGTACATTGTGTAGATTCTCTATAGATGCTATATGGAAATACAGGAACAAGTATAAACATAGGATGAAAAGGCATGGGGTGAACAGTGATCACACCAGCAAAGACAGGGCCAGCTTTTGAATGGGTCCTATGATGTTCTGAAGTATCTTAGATTGCTAAACAATCGGTCAATTACTGATAAGTATTGATTAAATACCTATTATGTGCTTGGAACTTTTAGGCACTCTGTAAAAATACCATACATCCTTTCTACCTTCTAAGAACTTCCAGTCTAGTCAGGGAGAAAAATAAACAGAAATTCCCCTAACCCAACTCTCAACCCTAACCCTAATTTCTTTCTTCTCTCACTCCCAATCCCCTTAAACTTAACCTTAATTTCCTTCACCCTTACCTTCTTTTTTCTGGCTCTTGTCTCCATTATAACAACTGGAGAAAAATTGTAAAATAAATTCATAAAATGTCAAATAGCCTCAGACTGACTAGACATACTACAGGAATCCAGAGGAGAAGGAAACCAGTGAGGGAAAGCTTTGTGGAGAAGAAGGCAAACCTTAAGATGGGTAGGACTGGAACTGGCAAAGGGGATAGAGGAGGACTTTGCAGGTGAGAGGAAAGACGGGGAGGTAGGAAGGAACATGCAGTGAAGACTTTGGCTTGGGAAGATTTTGAGATTTTTGAAGCTTTCCACTCTGTTAAGCTTTCTGGATTCTCCCCTCACTGCCGTGTCATCTCCCCCCTCCCCTCCTCTGCGAAAATTCCTTTCATCTGCTTGCTCAGGTGGGTAGGTTCTTCTCTATTCCATGACTCCTTTACTGCCTCTCCTCCCAGAAAAGAGACTGTTACCAGATTCCTTTTGAAGGACCCAAGAGTGTGTGTGGACCAATTAGGCCTCCCCTGTTTTTAAAGGAGAAATGTATTTAAAATGGAACACATCAAAAGTAAAAGGTAACAAATGTTTATATTTGAAAAGTGCTTCTGCTTTGATCCCGGTTTCCATATTTTAAGAGGTTGACAAATGTGCCCTCTGTAGCTTGGCTTCAAACATCTTCAGGCCACAGAGCACTTTATTCAACGGCAAACTCATTTGATCCTGCGGTAGCTGGTCCCTCAAGTATCGGACAGGGCTGGGGATCTTGGAATGGGATGGGTCCTTGTTATTATGTCTCAGGGATCACTGGTCCTGAAAGACCTGAAAGGTCCTGAAAGAGAAAGGTGAGAGAAAGGAGAATCTGGACAGAAGTGGTGGGGACTTGCTCCTTCTGTGAATCTTACTGTTCCTTCTGAGGGATGGACACTGGATCTAGGGAAAATAGGGATTGTGGTTTCACTCGTTTGGAGAATTTGTACCAAAGCAAATTCCCTTTCTGTCTCTCTGTCTCTGTCTCTCCTCCACCCTTCCACCATAGTCTTAGAACTCTGTACTCTCTTAGAGCACTAAGAGATTAAGTGACTTGCTCAGGGCCACCCTGCTAACCTGTATCAAGAAAGAAGACAAACGCCAAGTCTAGAGCTCTAATCACGCTACCATGCCGCCTCTCTGAGGAACAGGGATCTTTTATTTTACTCTTTTCACTGAATCATTTCGAGGCACTTTACTGACACAGACTACATTTTTCAGATATCTCTCTTGCCTTTCTGTTCCATGAGGTCACCTTGAATCTTTTCATTGTCGTTGATGTGTGCTAACAGCCCTTGACCAAACTGGTCTAGGAAGTCACTTGCAAAGGAAAATGCATTGAGAGAGTTGTTGAAGATAGATGATAACTTTCTAACAGGCACACAAGCTTTGTTTCCCCAGGCCTCCTTAGCAGACAAACTTCAAAGGCCTTTTTAATCTTTTTTGAAGGTGAAAAGGGTTGCTATCAAATCCAGTCCAATCACAAAGGCAGATTAAAAATATTTTAACCAGATTTCAAATGTCCCTAAGCCCTACCCCAGTTATTAGTTCTGAAGCTGCTGTACCATCTATTCACACTACAACCACAATAGCTAGTTGAGGCCTTTTTCACCTCTCACCTGGAATATTTCCATGGCTTCCTAATTGTCTTCCTTGCTGCCAAGTTCACCTTCCTCCAACAGACAGGTGCTAAATAGATATTCTTAAAGCATGGGTCTGACTGTACTCAAGAAACTTCAGTGGCTCCCAATTGCCTTTAAAATAAAACACAAGCTCCTCTGGTATTTAGAATCCTTCATGATCTGGCTGTTGCCTTCCTTTCTAGACTGATTATCTTAGTCACCCTTATGCATTCTACATTGTTCAAGCCCACCTACTTGCTGTTCCTCATACACCACACTCCATATCCCAGCTCTGGACCTTTATAGATTGTTTGTCTTCCATGCCTGAAATACTCCTTCTTCCTTACCTCTACCTCTTAGAATCCCTTGCTCAACCTCAAAGCTCAGCTTAAGGGCCACTTCCTATAAGAGACCTTTTCTGATTTCCCGATATGTAGGTGCATGCCCCACCCCTTTGAAATTACTTTTTTGTATATTTTGAATGTATATATGTGGGTACCTCCACTGCCCACCATGAATGCAGGTTTCTTGAGGGCAGGGGCTATTTAATTTTCATATTCCCAATATTTAGCACAGTGTCTGACACTTAGTGATAGTCAATGTCAAGTTCTTGTTGGCTTGAAGTTAATCGATGGCAATAGAACATTAATCTCCTGAAGAAGATTATAGAACTCATCATATGGGTGTGTGCTTACAGAACTTGGGCTGAAACCTTCTATTTGTAAAAGTCTTTCCTCCCTTCTGTTTGATTTATTTTGAACCTGGACTCATTTATTTCTAGATTTAGATATACACTGGTCAGTCAAATTTACTTAAAATTTTCTATTTATTGCTTTGCCTAATTTTATTATCATTTCCATAGATGAATATCAGAGACACATTTTATTTATTTTTTATAATTAATTTATTTTTAGTTTTCAACATTTGCTTCTATAAGATTTTGAGTTTTAATTTTTTTCCCCTCCTCCTCCCCTTCTCCAAGAAATCGTGCAATCTGATAAGGCTCTACTTATACATTCATATTAAACATTTTCACATTAGTCACAATGTAAGGAAGAATTAGAACTAACGGGAGGAACCATGTGGAAGAAGAAACAAAACAAAACAACGAAAGAAAAGGAGAGCAAATAGTATACTTTCATCTGCATTCAGACTCTATGGTTCTTTTTCTGGATGTGTATAGCATTTTCCATGGTGAATCTTTTGGAGTTGTCTTAGATCCTTGCATTGCTGAGAAGAGCTAAGCGTCTCAAAGCCAGTCATCACACAATGTGGCTGTTACTGCGTGCAATGTTTTCCTGGTTCTGCTCATTTCACAGAGATACATTTTAAACGACGATTGGGGGAAGGGACGAGTTGAGGCAGAGAAGGAAAACCTAATTGCAGCTTAAGCACCAGCAAGTCCTACAGAAGAGACATGATTTGGGCTCTAGTGGAAATGGCCCTCTTTGGCCTTCAATCTTTTGAGGACTGCATTGGAAGATAGAGTTTGATCTCCAGACTGAGCTTTCCAACAGAGGAGTGTGGGATAATAGAGAAAAAGATGAAGGATCTTGGAGAGAGAATGGCATGAGGTAATGGCAAAACATGTACTTGCTAAAAACAGAACTGTCCATCTGTCCAAACTGGTGACAGTCAGCAGGCACTGACACTCTTAGGAGAGTTCAGAAGCAGGGCTGGTGGAGATAACACCCCCAGCTCCTCACCAATCATCACTATGCTTCTCAGAACTGCTGGCATGGGCAGGGTGGCATTTCCATGAATGTTCAGATGGGACTGGGGAAGTGATGAATTCATTCCTGAGACTGTTGAGAAATATAGACAGGCCTAGAGGGAAAAATAACATAGAATTATAGGATCACAGGTTAAGAACCAAAAAGGACCATAAGGCAATTTAGCCCAATCTTAATATTTTACAGATGAGGAAACTGAGACCCAGAGAGTCAAAGTAGCAAATAATTCTAGGGCAGCTAGGTGGTGTAGTGGCTAGAGTACCAGGCTTGAAGGCAGGAAAACTCATCTTCCTGAGTTCAAATCTGGCCTCAGACACATACTAGCTGTGTGACCCTGGGCAAGTCACTTAACCCTATTTGCCTCAGTTTCCTCATCTGTAAAATAATCTGGAGAAGGAAATGGCAAACTACTCCAGTATCTTTGCCAAGAAAGCCCCAAATGGGATTACAAAGAGTTGGGATACAACTGAACAACTTTCTAAGCAACCGCTTTCTTCATTTTCTTTTCTTTTCTTTTTCAATTAATAAGCCTTTATTTTCCTCCCCTATTCCTTGTCCCTCTCCCTGGTGGAAAAGGAAAAACTAAACTCCTAACAAATAAGTAACCAAGCACAACAAATCCCCACATTGGCCATGTCCAAAAACGTACATCTCATTCTTCATCTTGAATCTATGAACTCTGTTAGGAAATGGGTAGTATAGATCACCATCAGTCTTCTGTAATCAGGAATGATCATTGCTTTGAGCAGAAATCTCAAGTCTTTCAAAGTTGTCTTTACAATGTTGTTACTGTATACATTGTTTTCCCAGTTCTGCCCAATTCACTCTGCATCCATTCATACAAGTCTTCCCAGGTTTCTCTGAGTCCACCCCTATTATAATTTCTTAAAGCACAACAGTATTCCTTTATATTCCTTTATATACAAATTTATATAAAATCATATTCATATAAAATTTCAATAAAAAATATTCATACGAAAATTTCAAATAATTTATTCAGCCATGACCCAGTTGATGGGCACCCTCTTAATTTCCAGTTCTTTGACACCACAAAAAGAGCTGCTATAAATATTTTTGTACAAATAAATTCTTTTCCTCTTTCTTTGATATCCTTGGGGTATAAGTGGAATTAGAGGTATTGGTGAGTTAAAATGTATGCACAGTTTGTGATTTTTAAGGCATAATTCCAAATCACTTTCCAGAATGGCTGGACTACTTTATATCACCATCAATAGATAAAAGCTACTTTGTACAAAGCATTGTAGAAGCATATATCAGATTGGTTTTCTGACCTCAAGAAATTCATGATCAGTACTGTTAATATTGCTAATAATAGTTGGTTTGGGGATGGGAAGAGAAAACAGATACGCAACAGGATACAACACAAGATAATTATGTGGCAAATGATTTGAGACAGATAAGGAACTATGGGAGTTCAAAAAAGAGAGGTATAACTTCTCGCTGAGGGTGCCAGGCAAGATTCATGGTGTAACAGGAAACTGAGCTGAGCCTTGAAGGATAGATAGAACTTTGATACTTGGATATAGTGGAGGAGAGATTTTGAACAAAGCTTAGGAGGTCTTAAAGGGCAAGTGAGATTGCATTTGGGAATGTTAAGTAGTGTAATTTAGCTGAAGCACAGAATATAAATGGGAGAGTAGAGGGTTGTCAAGCTGGAAAGGTAGGTTAGACAAAGGTAGGTTGGACAAAGCCTTGACTACTAGGCTGATATCTTTCAATATCACTTAGTAAGCTATGGAGGGGGGTGAGAGCAGGTTTTTCTCTATTTTATTCATAATGCTCCAAGTGGTTAAATGATTTATCTAGGGCCACACAGCTAGTATCAGGGGTAAAATTTGAACCTGGGTCTTTCTCAACCCCAGGTCCAGGGCTCGAATTTCCACTAAATCCCATTACTTCTCATGAAAATGTGAGTGAGGCCCCATGAAACTACAAACTAACTGATTAGTGAATCCTACATAATTCTTTGTAGCATTTAATTATTTTTTAGAAACTCCCTATTACAGAATTCTTAACTTTTTTTTTTTGGTCATGGAAACCTTTGGCAGTCTGGTGAAAACTATGGACCTCTTCTGAGAATAATGTTGTAAAACGTATAAAATAGAATGTATAGAATCATTTTGTTGTTGTTCAGTTGTTCAGTTGCTCGGCCATGTCCAACTCTTTGTGACCCCATGGACTAATACAGGTATAGGATCATAAAGGGAATCGATTCTATTTAAGTATCAAAAATATAGTTATCAAAGTAAACAGTAATCAAAATAATAATCAATGAACTCCAGTGGCTCCCTACTGTCTCCAGAAAAGGCAAAATGATCTATTTGCATTCAAAATCCTTCTTCATAACCTAGCCTCCTCCTACCTTTCCCACTCTTCTTATGTCTTACCCCTGACCACATACTCTTCCAATTTGTTTCGTCGACCTCCCTGCTGTTTCATCTCTCTGCTCTGGGCCCCCAAAGTCTGGATTTCTCTCCCTCCTTATCTCTGCCTACTGCCTTCTGTAGCTTCCTCTAAGTTCCAACTAAAATCCCACCTTCCCACAGAAAGCCTTTCCCAACCCCCCTTAATTCTAGCAACTTCCCTCTCTTAATTCTGTCCTACTTATCCCGTATCTGGCTTGTTAATACATAGTTGTCTACTTGTTGTCTCCCCCTAGATTGTGAGCTCCTTGAAGGCAGCAACTGTCTTTTGCCTCTTTTTATTCCCAGCACTCAGCTCAGTCTCTGGCATATAGTAGTCACTTAATAAATGTTTGTTGACTGCCCTGAATTAGCCTTGATTTCCTTGTTTGGTTTTGGGGGAAAATGTGAAAAACAACTTATAAGATCTATAGGTATGGGTTAGATGTCTTAGTGGTTGACAAGTTGAGTCTATTCTCCACCCAAAAATGCTCAGTGGCTCCGTATTGCCCTCTGTGCAAAAATTTAAATTCCTTTGTCTGCCATTCAGGGCTCTCCAGAATTGGCACAGCTCTGCATTTCCTTATCTCCTAAGGATATTATTCTTATCTTATATTACTTCCCTTCATGCGATCTGTGATGTAGTTCAGCTGGATGGCTCTGTCCCCTGAATATGCTTTCTTGCTCATTTGCCTTTGTTCACACTGATCCTTCTGCCCAAAACGTTTCCCTCCCACTTCTTTGCCAGTCAAATTACAGTACTACTACTCATCCTTTAAAAGTGATGCAAATTCCTTCTTAAGCCCTTCTCTGATCCAGAGCAATTTCACACAGCCCTCAGATCTCGCCTAACACTTTGTTTTGCAACTCTATGGCTCTAATTGAGTACGGATTACAGTTTTCTGTTTGGGTGTCTTCCTGCTAAATTGTAAAGTCTACAGGGAAAGGGACAATGCCTTCACCAAACTTGTCTGTCCTTCAGTGTGCACACAGTAGGCATTTAAGTTTCAGTGAGTGAACGAACTCTCATTTATACATGATTTATTCCTTGCAAAAAACAAAAAACAAAAACAAAAACAAAAACAAAAAAACACAAAACCGCAAACTGTGTAAGGTAGGTGGTGTAAGGATGATGATCCCTATTTTTCAAATGGGGAAACAGACTCAATGAGTTAGGCATCGATCATACAGATCATACAGCATCATCACCCAGCTTCAATCCCTGCCTTCAGCCCCCATCAGATTGCCTCTCTGTTTTACTCAGGGGCATATTGGAGCCAGCTGGAGAGCTGGCTCTGCCAGTCGCTAAATTTTCACAGTGAGTATTTACACCTCAGAAATAGCAATCTACAAATCAGGGCTTGATTTATCGGTTTGTTGATTGTCTAGACCAGAGGTAGAGAACCTGTGGCCTTGAGGACATATGTAGCCTTCTAGATCCTCTGGTGCAGACTTTTGCTTAAGTCCAAGTTTTACAGACAAATCCTTTTATTAAGGGGATTTATTCTGTGAGGTTTGGTTCAGTCAAAGGTAGACTTCAGAAAGTAATGGAGGAAATGTTAATAATGAAGATTAAACTGAAAAGTATGGCACATGTATGTTTTCCCCAGAGAGCCAGTTGTTAAACAGTCGCCTGCACCGCCTTGCTTGCATTCCAGTGACAATTTCCGAGGAAACTCTGATTCTGATTGTTTAACTTCCATCGAGAACAAAATATCACTTGTACCATCACCACCTCCCTTCCCTGTCTCACCCTCAAAAAGATGAAAGATGATGCATTTCACTTGTTTTCTGAAGTTTCTGTAGAAGAAGGAACGAAAGAACTGTTTTCTTCTCTATTGTTTTCCCAAGGGTTCTCTGCCGACAGGAATGCTGAATTTCAGTTTCCTTGTTTTCTTTGCAGAGTGATGTTTGATCAACACCCTTTGATTTTGCCATTCCCCTTTTGGGAGTAAAAGGAGGTCATCTACACCCTGTCTGTGCTTCAAGTCACTTTGAAGTAAATGAAATCTTCATCGTTGTGAGAAAAGAGGGCGATTCATCTTCCATTGTGAAGACCCTCTCCAACCTAACTCTTTCAGAAAAGGAGAGAAGGAATTTAGTTCCCCCTCCCAAAACGAGGGGGTTGGACAAGATAACCTTTAAGTCCTTTTCCAGCCTCATTCAATTCTAAGGATTGGATCTGTTAATCTTTCAGTCAGGAAGACTACTAGGAGTTGCCAGTTTGGAGTGGACCCTGGACTGGTTCAGTCAAATTAGACTATTGTTTTCTGACTTGTTTTGAGAGGGCAGTTTGGCATAGCGGGTGGTGAAATGGCTAGAATGCCATGCCTGAAGTCAGGAAGACCTGAGTTCAGACCTGGCCTCAGACACTTACTTGCTCTATGACCCTGTTTGCCTCAGTTTTCTCATCTGTAAAATGAGCTGGAAAAGGAAAAGGCAAATCACTCCAGTATCCTTGCCCAAGAAAACCCCAAATGGGGTCATAAGGAATCCAATGTGATTGGGAAGAACTGAACGACAAAAATGGTATAGTGGACAGGGTATGGGACTTGGAGTTAGGAAGATGTGGATTCAAATCCTGCTTCAAACACTTAGTAGCCATGTGACCCTAGGGAAATCTCTCAACCTTTCTTTGCCTCAGTCTCCTCATCTGCACAATGAGGTGTTT